AGGTAATGCGAAAAATAAAAAAGCGAAAAATTTGTCTTCCAGAATGTGTAGGAGCAGGGATGGATTACCCAATAAGCAAGGTGTGCGCGGGTTTACGTGTGCTTACTTACTCATCTGTAGTGACCAGTTTCACCTGTTTTTCACCACAAATGCCATGTGAAATTGGTCACCGCGGATTAGTAAGTAAATACAATTAAGCCAGTGTATACCTTGCTTACTGTTAGCCAGTGCATACCTTGCTTACAGGTTACTCTACCCCTGTACAGGAATGAGACATGGGATGATTCTTGGAACATTGATGCAGTAAGAACTAGAGAGAGCAGAGGCCACCCCACATTTAAATGTATATTTCCTTTCCCTGGGAACCCAAGCTTAACAAGCTTCCTCAACTCTAGTAATAATTGTTTCATCCCTCTTGTGGGTTTCCCAACTGCAATGCTAGGGATAATGCACCTGGCAGACAATTCCCCAGAGAGAATCAAGAAGTTAAAGATCTGGAAGTTGTTCATAGGCTTCCAGGAAGGTTTATTTCAGACCTCCCCACTTTCTCCCAAGAGGCTCCCAAACAATAAAAATTAAATATTACAACAATAAAAAAATAACCTTTTCAGAAATGAATTATTTCTTCCTTAATAGAATTGATCCATTCTGCAAATAGAGGTTTGTCTTCTCTGCCTGCAGCACTCTGCGAACAACACCATCTTAGAGCTTACATATGTCTGCTTTCTCAACAGTGCCTCAGATTCAAGACCCATTTTGTGGCAAAGGAGGTGAGACAAAGGGCACATGATCACAGAATTCACTGGTCTTGCCATATACTCCATCACCCAGCTGAAGAAAACAGTGGAATGGCCTCTCAGAGGCTAAGCTAATCACCAGTTTGGGGCTAACTCTCAGAAGTTTTGGGATGCTGTATTCCAAGATGCTATATATGCATAAAACAAATGGCCAGTATATGGTGCTGTGTCCCTAATTACTACATATGATGCTGTGTCCCCAACTGCTATAATGTTTGAGTCCAGGAGCTAGAGGGTGTGTCTTAGCTTTTTCTGTATAAACAACCAAAAAAGAAACCAAACCCATTGCCATTGAGTAGATTCTGACTGATGGCAACCCTATAGGACAGGGTAGAACTGCCCCACATGGTTTCCAAGACTGTAATCTTTACAAAAGCAGACTGCCACATCTTTCTTCCATGGAGCAGCTGGTGGGTTCAAACTGCCAACCTTTCAGTTAGCAGCTGAGCCCTTAACGACTATGCCACCAGGGCTTCTTTCTGTGTAATGAGCTACCTTAAAACTTAGTGGTTTAAGATATCAGCCATCTATTTACTCATAATTATGTGAGTCAGTAATTTGTGCTAAGCTGAGCTGAGTAGTTCTCATGTAGACACTTTGGACACACTCATGTGCTTGCTGTGAGCTGATGGGTCAATTTGGGCCTGACTGGTGTAGGATGGCTATAATTGGGATGGCTCAGTGTGGTTTATTGTCCTCCAGCAGGGTGGCCTGGACTTGTTCATTTGCTGGAAGTAGGTATCCAAGAAAGAGAGAGAGCAGAAACATTTAAAACCTCTTGAGGCCTGGGCTTAAAACTGGCACAATATCACTTCCACTGCGTTTTATTGTCCAAAGCAAGTCACAAGACCAATTCAGTCTCAAGCGGTGGGAAAAGACTCTATCTCTTGATGAGAAGCACTTTAAGGTTACATTGCAAAAGGCATGGATTCAGTGGAGGATACAGAATTGTACCATTTTGCAATCAATCAAGGGTAAAAGTAGGAATGGTTTATTTTACCATTACTCCCAGTGATACGCTTTTGGTATTTGTGCTTCTCATCCCTGTAACGCTATCTCTGCCAGATTTGAAGTCCTGATTTGGTGAAGGAGAATGTATCCATCGGAGAACACAATTGTTCATCTGAATTTGAAGCTGTGACTACCTTCTGGTCACTCTGGGTTCCTCATGCCAAAGAACCAACTGGCAAAGAAAAGCTTTATTATACTGGAGGAGGATAACTGACCTTGATTACCATGAGGATCTATGGTTATTGCTACATAGGATGTTGTTGTTGTTGGTAGCTGCCATCTAGTTGGCCCCCTATTCACAGCGACCCCATGCACATAGGGATTGGGACATTGTGACCCATACAGTTTTCACTGGCTGATTTTTTGGAGGTAATGTCCAGGGCTTTCTGTCTCAGTTTGGAAGCTCCGCTAAAACCTGCTCAGCATCACAGCAGCATGTAAACCTCCACTGACAGACTAGTGGTGGCTGTGCTTGAGGTGGATTGGCCAGGAATTAAACCTGGGTCTTGTCCATGGATAGTGAGAATTCTATCACTGAACCATCACTGCCCTCCATATGAAGTTAGGAAGGAGTATATCTGGAACTCAGAGTATAAGTGTGGAATTATAGCAACCATGGCCCTGCAAGAGTAAGGCAAGTAATGGCATAGCTCCCTTGAAGATAAATGTCTGGACCGCCTCCTCTGGCAAGCAACACAGGCTAGCCAAATGACAGCTGAAGAGATATGAAATCTGTTATGAGTATACAGCGTCTGAATAGCTGCAGCGGTAAGATTATAGTATTTTTACTAATTCTTTTGCAGTAAGATTTTGTAGAGGTTGTGCCGGCAGTCACCTTGAAGGGGACTCTGTGACTGGTTATACATGAGGGAATCTTAATGATAACAAGGGTAGACTGTTTCAGGTATTGGGGTACCAGTTCAGAATATTGAGGCTTCACATTTCTATTTCAGCCACTAATGCTGTGATTAGTTTTGTGACCTCTAGGTTTATTTAGGTGCAACTTGACAATGCCTCAGCTTGGGCCTGTGCCATGGACCTTATACTTCTTGCATCAAGGCATCTCTCATAGGTGGCATCACAGGAACCTGCTTGGTGCTCATATATTTACAACGTGTAAGTGTGGGACAGTGAACACCCCATGGAGTGAAAATTTGACCAGTGGGGGATGGGGGATGATGGATACATTTTTTCCTCTTTCTTCTCTTGGGTTAGATGATCCTAAGACATATTTTAGGTGTACACATCCCTATGTGCATGGGGTCACCATGAATAGGTGCCAACTAGATGGCAGCTAACAACAACAACAACCTCTTATGTAGCAATAACCATAGATCCTTATGGTAATCAAGGTCAGTTCTCCTCCTCCAGTGTAATAACTCTTTTCTTTGCCAGCTGGTTCTTTGCAATGGGGAACCCAGAGTGGCCGGAAGGTAGTCATAGCTTCAAATTCAGTTGAACAGTTGGGATCAAACACCCAATCACTTCATATTGGTGGCAAACTCAATAATGCATCCTTGGCTGCTCACTTTTCCTCCCTCCTTTGCTCACCCTCTTTTACTCCTGATTCTGTATCACCTCCCACTGAAGTGCTTGTGCTTAAGCCTTTGTCTCAAACTCTGTTTTCTGGGCATAAATATGAATCTCTTCCAGTCAGTTGGCCAGGTAGCTGTCTTCCAAATTTCTTGGCATAGACAAGTGAGCACCTCCAGTGTTGCTTTTATTTTTTTAAACATCTCAGTTGGTATTCCTTTAATTACTGGAGCCTTGTTTTTCTATAATGCCTTCAGTGCAGCTTGAACTTCTTTCTTCAACACCATCAGTTCTTAATCATATGCTACCTCTTGAAATTAATGCTAACCAATTCTTTTTGGTACAATGACTCTGTATATTCCTTCCATCCTCTTTTGATGCTTTCTGTGTCGTTCAATATATTGCCCATAAAACAAAAAAAACAAAAAACAAAAAACAAACCCATTGCTGTCAAGTCAATTCTGACTCTCAGCGACCCTACAGGACAGAGTAGAACCGCCCCATAGGTTTCCCAAGGAGCTGCCGATCTTTTGGTTAGCAGCAGAGCTCTTAACCACTGCACCATCAGGGTTGCATACTGCCCATAGAATCCTTCAATATTGCAACTCCGGGATTGAATTTTTTCTTCAGTTCTTTCAGCTTGAGAAATGTCGAGCATGTTCTTCCCTTTTGCTTATCTAACTCCAGGTCTTTTCACTTTTCATTATAATACTTTGTCTTCTTGAGCAGCCCTTTGAAATCTTCTGTTCAGCTCTTTTACTTCATCATTTCTTCCTTTTGCTTTAGCTTTCCTTTTACTCTTTAGTTCAAGAGCAAGTTTCAGAGTCTCTTCTGACATCCATCTTGGTCTTTTCTTTCTTTCCTGTCTTTTTAATGACCTTTTGCTTTCTTCATGTATGATGTCCTTGATGCCATCCTGCAACTCATCTGGTCTTCCATCATTAGTGTTTAATGCATCAAATCAGTTCTTGAGAGGGTCTCTGAATTCAGGTGGGATATACTTAAGGTGGTACTTTGGCTCTCATGGGCTTGTTTTAATTTTCTTCAGCTTCAACTTGAGCTTGCATATAAGCAATTGATGTTCTTTTCTGCAGTAGGCCCCTGGTCTTGTTTTGACTGATGATATTGAACTTCTTCATCGTCTCTTTCCCCAGATGTAGTCGATTTGATTTCTGTGTATTCCATCCAGCGAGGTCCACATGCGTAGTCACCATTTATGTTGTTGAAAAAAGGTATTTCCAACGAATATGTCATTAGTCTTGCAAAATTCTATCATGTGACCTCTGGCATTGTTTCTATCACTAAGGCTATATTTTCCAACTATTAATCCTTCTTCTTTGTTTCCAACTTTCATTTTCCAATCACCAGTAATTATCAATGCATCTTGATTACATGTTTAATCAATTTCAGACTGCAGAAGTTGGTAAAAATCTTCAATTTCTTCATCTTTGGCATTCTGGTTTGGTGCGTAAATTTGAATAATAGTCATATTAACTCATCTTCCTTATAGGTGTATGGATATTATCCTATCACTGACAGCATTGTACTTCAGGATAGATCTTCAAATATTCTGGGTTCACACTCCTCTTTTTTTTTTATTATTCCTTTTTAAATTTGCTAAAGTTCTTTGCCTCGACAGGAAACAAATGTTGACAAAGGATGGAATAGAAAAATGGAAGTTCTTTCACTGGATTTGTCTTATTGGCTTTCTCTGACAGGCCTCAACTGGAGCTAGTCCTCTATGTGGTTCTTTTTATCTTCTGTATCTTCACTTTGCTGGGAAACACAACCACCATTTTATTGTCCCACCTGTGCCCCAATCTTCATACCTCTATGTCCTTTTTTCTCACCAACCTAAGTTTCTTGACCTGTGTTACAGTACCAACATTGTCCCACAGCCACAGTCAATCTCAGGGAACAGACCAATCTATTTCCTGTAGTGGTTGTGTAGTTCAGCTGTATATCTCTCTTGGTTTGGAATCTACAAAATGCATTCCCTTAGGGGTTATGGCATTTGACCATTATGCAGCTGTTTGTGGTTCCCTCCACTACACAGTCATCATGAACCCCCATCTCTGTGCCCTAGTGGCTTCTGCTTCATGGCGCATTTGTTTTGCCAACTCCTTATTGCAGACAGTGCTCATCTTCCTTTTACCATTTTGTAGGAGAAATAAATTAGACCACTTATTATGTGAGGTTCCTCCATTCTTCAAACTTGCCTGTGTTGACATCACTATGAATGAATCTGAGCTCTTCTTTGTCAGTGTCAACATTCTTCTTATACCTATTGTATTAACCATGTTCTCCTATGGTCAGATTGTCAGAGCCGGCTTATGCATAAAGTCAGCAGCAGGGCAGAGAAAGGCGTTTGGGACTTGTGGATCCCACCTCATAGTGTTTTCCCTGTTCTATGGCACAGCCATCTATGCTTATCTCCAGTCCAGCAAAAACTACTCTCATGATCAGGGAGAGTTCATATCTCTCTTCTACACCACAATTATACTCATGATCAATCCTCTCATGTGTACTCTGTGGAACAAGGATATGAAAGGTGCATTTAAGAAGGTGCTTTGGAAGGACTATGACTCCAGATGACTGGGGGGGAAGGGCACTTCAATGGAAGGACTTTGAATGACAGAGCCCTTAAAATGTATATGTCCTCCACATGTCATCCAAAATTTCCCCTTACAACTCTCAAGGGCATTTCCTTACCTAATTCTTTTAGGAAAATGAAAGTTCAAAATCTAAGTTTATGGATTCAGTACAAGCTCCAGAGATGCAGACTCAGTATTCCCAGAGCATCTGTATTATTATTTTTAAAAAGCTTTACACAGCTGGGGTCCGGCGGCATGGCGGGGGCGGGGCCGGGGGTGGGGGCGCGTACCGAAGCGGCCCAGGGGCCTCTCGCCCCCTCCCTTTGAGTCGGGACTGGACAGAGATGTGATAATGGATCATCATGTTTCCACCATCAAACCTCGAAGAATCCAAAACCAAAATGTCATTTACCGCTTGGAATGCCGAAGGATCAGCGCAGGCATCTTTCTTTGTCGTGTACAATATGGTGACAACAGAGGTGATTGCTGTATTTGAGAATACATCAGATGAGCTTTTGGAACTCTTTGAGAACTTCTGTGACCTCTTCCGTAATGCTGCCCTGCACAGTGAAGTCCAGTTTCCCTGCTCAGCTTCCAGTGACAATTTTGCAAGGCAGATCCAACGCCGCACCTGTGGAATTACTTGTGTATTGACTGTGATTCCTGCTAGACTGCACATGAGCTGCAGAAAGATAGAGACAGTGCCTTTGTTGTTTATTGCTATATCCTCAGCAGTACATTGTCAAGATCTTAAATATTTGTTGAATCAGTTAGGAAATCATTTTAGAACTTTTGGTTAAACATGATGTGTTGAACAAATACATTTATCTTCTCTTCATGCCGAAACTCTATTAAAAATGACAGTAAAGGAAAAAGAGGTACAAATCTGCAAAAACAAAGAATGAGAAAGGAGTCTATTGGTGATAGGAGATATCAACACAGATTTGGAAGCTGAAAAGGCAATGGATGAATGATAACCTCAGAGAGCAGAAACTTATGCCTGCAGAGCTCAGTCATCAAGAAAAAAGCCTGACTTTCACCATAGAACTCTGTAAAGGATCAGAGATGGGAGGCCTTAGGTACCTCTGAAGTGGGGTATGAGGTAGCCTGAAATCAGGAGGATTAGGTGAAGTTCTTAAAAGGAGCAGTCAGATCCTCTAGATCCCTCCTCTTACCCTATGCTGCCAGATGAGGCCTCTTCCTCCACCTCAGCAAAGGCTAAAGGTTTACTCAGGTTCATAAGACATAGCTGAGAGCAGGATGAGACATATCATAGTGAAGACAGGAATTAAGTGAAAGTTGATGAACTGAAGGGCGAGACTTCTGTCCCCCTTACCACATCTGACATCCAGGCTTATACTCCCCAGGCAGGAGATTAGTGAATTTCCCTAAGGAAACCAATCAACTCAAAAGAGAGACCTTCAGATAATGACATTGGAGTCCCTTTGCAAAACACCTAGGTCACCCTAAATTGATACCCACCAGTCAACAAAGTCCTCCTATGAACTGAGGCTTCTAATATCATCTTAGTACATTATTATAAAATTATTCGTTCCTTCAGGCCCAGAGTCCAAGCTAAATCCTACTCTAGTCAGTTAGTGCCCATCAGATTTCAGAGTTCTAAGTTACTCCCCCAACCTTAGCCAGTTATGGAAAGTATCTGCTTTAGGTCCCAAGCTAGACCTGACCAGATTTGGTGGGTGAATCAGGGTAATCATTACTGCCAGTGGGGAAAAGGATCAAAGCAGATCTCTCAATGCATTGGCGTTATAAAGAGAGTACTAGATCAGAAACAGATGGATGTTGATTTTCAGATAGCTGGATTTGCCTTTTCCTTTTTCTCTGGTTCACACAAATATTCTGCATTATTAGCATCTCTATTCAGTAAAGGAGGAATTTTGGAAGCAAAAAAAAAAAAAACAAAAAGCTTTACAGGTTTTTCTTATTTACATCTCCATTTGAGGACATTATTCCATTTCTACTTGCAAAAACCCATCTAAGTATATGCCATAAAGGCACAGGCACAATAAAATTATGAAACCATTGAAACTAGTAAGCATACTAACATTTTAGCCTTTTCAAGGGATATTAAATATTATTCTAAAAGATACATTTTTGGCTGCATAGAATTCTCTTGTATAGAGGAATTGTAATTTTCAACAGTACTCTGTTGTTGGACTTTTAAACTTTTGAAAAAGCATGTTATAATTAATTGGGTTATGAAAATTATTGTGCATAGATTTTTTTTGCAGGTATTGCTCATCATATCATTATAAGACATTAAAGGAAGTGTAATTTTTTTCAAAACATATTTGATAAATTGTACTACAGAGAATATATGTAATTTGGCCACAAATTTGCTGAATTTATAGCATCATCACCTACAGGGAACATTTGATAGGCCAAAAACTATGTCATTTTTATTATTTCAGTTTTATTCCTACATAGGTTGAAATATTTTTTCATCTACTTATGGGACGTGTGTAGGCAGTGCAAATGCTTGTTCTTTTAGGAAATATCTGTTTATGTTCTTTGCGTATCTTCATGTTGAACTATTCCTATTCATACTGACTTTTTTATATTAAAGATAATAAACCACTGTCCATCAAATATGTAGCAACTATTTTTTCCCACTATATTTTCTTTTTATTTATTATGAATTTTGGATTTAATGTTTATGTGGTCACCTTTATTGGTCTGTTTCATAATGATTTCCTTCTTTAATGGTTAGAAACCTCTCAAAAGAGAGTTAAAAAAAATGTACATACCTACTTCATTTGGTTATTTTTTGAAAATAAATATCTCTTTAGTCAATCTGATTTGGTGTACATTGTGAGGAGCGAATTATCCTTTTTGTGTGTCAAGTTTTGGAATAGCATTTATTCAAATATCCTTTATTTTCCATATATATCTGTTTCTGAACTTTAGATTATCTCCTTTTTCTCATTTGCCAGAATCTCACTGATGTAAGTTTTATAGCTTTAGTATAAATTCAAAAATTTGGCAGATTTTGTTGTTGTTGTTAGTTGCCATAACAGAATGTTGTATAACAGAATGAAATGTTGCTTAGTCCTGTGCCACCTTCATGATCGTTAGTATGTTTGAGTCCATTGCGTAGCAATTGTGTCAATACATCTTATAGGGTTTCCCTGGTTTTCGTTGGCCCTCTACTTTACCAAACATGATGTTCTTTTCTATTGACTGATCTTTCCTGATGACACATCCAAGTAAGAAAGTCAAAGTGTTGCCGTCCTTGCTTCTGAGAAACATTCTAGTGGTATTTCTTCAAAGACTGATTTGTTCCTTCATTTGGCAGTCCAGGTATATTCAATATTCTTTACAACACCACAGTCCTAATGCACTAATTCTTCTTCTATCTTCCTTTTTCATTATTCAACTTTCTCATTCATATGAAGCAATTGAAAAGAGCATAATTTGAGCCAGGCACATCTTAATCATCAAAGTGACAACTTTGCTTTTTAAAACTTTAAAGAGGTCTTTTGCTGCAAATTTGCCTGATGCAATACATTGTTTGATTTCTTGACTGCTGCTAACAAGATAAAGTATTATGATGAAATGTGCAAAGACTTAGACATAAAAAACCAAAAGGGAAGAACACAACTGGCATTTCTCAAACTGAAAGAACTGAAGAAAAAATTCAAGCCTCAAGTTGTAATACTGGAAGTTTCTCTGGGTAGAAATTGAATTCAGAAAAAAAAAAAAAAAGGGCAGATTAAAACCCGTTGCCATCAAATCAATTTCAACTCATAGTGATTCTATAGGACAGAGGAGAACTACCCACAGGATTTCCAAGGCTGTAATCTTTACAGAAACAGACTGTCACATCTTTCTCCCGCAGAACACCTGGTGGTTCGAACCTCAGACCTTTCAGTTAGCTGTTGAGCTCTTAGCCACTGCACCACCAGAGCTCCCTAATTGGCAGATTACACACACACACACACACACACACACACACACACACACACACACACACCTGTTGCCATTGAGTTGATTCCGACTCATAGTGACCCAATATTAGATCTCCCTTATTTCTATATTTTGCAGTTGTGGGTGTGTCTTAGAAATAATTTTGACAATTTCTAAAAAAACAAATCTTAGATTTAAATTGGAATTGTATAAATCTATAAAACAATTCCTGGAAAATTGGCAGCTTTGCAGTATTCTATCCATTTTGGATGTGGATATGATTCATCATTTATTTCCTTTGTTATATGTTTATCAGAAAAGTTTTGCATATTCCTATTAAGATAAACCTTGTTTCTTGATATATTTTTAATCCTTTTTATTGTAACTAGAATCTTTAAAACTTTTAATTTCACTATACTAATGAAAAAGTGTGTTTATTTGCATTTAGCACACGCTTTAAACATTGTCCATAATACCCTAAATTTTTCATTTTATTCTTTTGAATTTTCTAAATAAATAATCATGAAATGCACAAAATAAATGGTTGCTGATATTTCTGAGCCATTAAGTTTGGGTGGTTTATTATGCAACAATAAGTAACCTGAAACCCAAGGTATAGTTCAACAGCCACACCACCATTTCAAAGGATACCATATTTTTAATCTGGAAAATTCAGTTCTTGCCTTTATGGGATTTTTGAATGTTAATATCTGTAGCAGAAATTTTGCTGAGAACTCATTCAACTTTATATTTTACTCTACATATTATATGGGGCATTGGTGGTTCACTGGTAGAATTCTCAATGTCTATGTGGGAGTCCCAGGTTCGATTCTCAGCCAACGCACTCATGGACAGTCACCACTTGTATATCATGATGTTGAACTACTTCCGAAAATCATCCAACAAAAATCCTATGGATCACAATGGTTCTATCTACAGCTGATCATAGGATTGACCAAGATTGGGCATATTTTCTTCTAGTTGTGCATGAGGTCACGATGAATCGGGGCTGACTCCACAGCAGCTAACAACACATATTATATATTATGTAATATAATTAAATATATATATTTG